GGGCTCCCCGTGCGCTAGGGGCCCACCCTCAGGGAGCCAGCAGGCAGGAAGCTAGCCAGCCGGAAGACTGGCGCTCCCCGCCCGAGGCTCCCTGTGCGCCGGAAGTCCTCCGTCCAGGGTCCTTTTTTTTTTTTTTTGAGACAGAGTCTCACTGTGTAATCCAGGCTGGCCTTGAACTTGCAGTGATCTTTCTACCTCAGCCCCCCAAGTGCTGGGATTACAGGTGTGTGCCACCACACCTGGCAAGCTCAGTCATCTTACACCAGTTTACTCCAGTGTCTCATTTAGGTTAGCTTTGACTGCCCTCTTGGCTGGGGTTGCATATCTAGCCCACAGCAGCATTCAGACATCCTGTTCCAGTGCAGGCTGGTATTCACTATATGCACCTGCCCCCTCCTGTCAAGAGGTTTTGTCTCACTCCAGCCCTGGGGCTCTCTACATGGTACTTACGTCAGCAGCTTTCAGATCCCTGGGTCTTGTCTGGAAAACGGATCCTCAAGCCTAAGCTGTAGCTACTGGACCCATGTTCCTGGCAGGCTCCACATATGGTGGTTATGAGCAGCAAGAGTTTTCTTTTTTGATAGTACTGATAATTGAATCTTAGCTCTTACAGATGCTACACAGCACTGTACCACCATTCTACATCCTCATTGTTTATTTTTATTTTTATTTTTTGCAGTACCAGGAATCGAACTCACAACCTTGTGCTTGCCCGGCAGGCGCTTATGCCACTGAGCTATATGAGCTATAGATGAGCTATATATCCTCAGCCCTCTCATTGTTTATTTTGAGATAGGGTCTTACTAAATTGCCCAGGCTGGCCTCAAACCTTTGATCCTCCAGTGTCAGTCTCTCAGGCAGCTGAGACTGTAGGCATGTTGTGTGACCAACTTCTCTCTCTCAGTCTTTCTCTTTCTCTCTCTCTCTCTTCTTCCTCCCTCCCTCTCTCTCTTTTTTCCTTCCTCTCTTTGAGACAGGGTCTTGCTTTGTAGTTCAGGCTGGCCTTGAACCTTTGGTGATCTTCTGCCTCAGTCTCTTAAGTGCTGGGATTATAAGCATGAGCCTCCATTCTTGGCTGTTCTTTTTTAACAGTAGTAAAGTAACACATAAAATTTACCTTTTTTTTTTGTCTTTTTGAGACAGGGTCTCACTATGCAGTTCAGGCTGGCCTTGAGCTCACTTTGTAGTCCAGGCTGGCCTTAAACTGGCAACGATCCTCCTCCCTCAGCCTCCTGAATGCTGGGATTATAGGTGTGCGCCACCATCCAGAGTTAACCATTTTATTTTTATTTTTTATTTGTTTATTTCTTTGTCTTTTTGAGACAGGGTCTCACTATGCAGTTCAGGCTAGCCTTGAGCTCACTTTGTAGCCCAAGCTGGTCGCGAACTTGCAATTATCCTCCTGCCTCAGCCTCCCAAGTGCTGGGATTACAGGCGTGCGCCACCACACCTGGAAAGTTTACCATTTTAAAGTGAGCCATTCAGTGGCATTTAGCGCATTCACAGTGTTGTGGAACTGCCACTTCTGTCAAGTTCCAGAAGGATCTCTGTACTTTTAGCCTGTGCCTCTCTGTGCATTGCCTGTCCTATACATAATGTGGGCAGTGAAGTCTTAAGAAAAACTGTTAAAACTTGTGGTGTGTCTCCTCCAGCTTTCTCTGCTGAGGGCTTTCCCACGGGTAAACAGTGCTTTAAACCACAGTTATCTTGGTGGCAGTGGGTTTTCTTCCTGTGTGTGTCTTTCCTCCTTCAACAGAGTGAAGTGTGTGAGGTCTGTGGTCCTGGGATGAGTTAATAAACATGACTGTGAGAGCTTTTCCTCATTCCCCTCCCATCTCCACCACCTCCCTGGCTGTCCCACCTGTACTACCCTGGGCGTATACTCACGATCCTACTCCAGCGCCAGGCAGTGCTAACAGGGTGTGGCTTCTGGTCACACTGTAGGTTTGGGGAAGAGGGCATGGACACTGCCTGCCAGGGATTCCCCGTTCCAAATCCCAAGTGGGAACCCTCACAAGCCTGTCCCTAGGTTAGTGAGGTGGAAGAGGACCTTGAGCTCTTGGGATAGGCTGTGGGATGGCAGCTTTGTGCCACCCACACTCAGTGCTGCTGGCTTCAGCATTCTTACATCCTATTGTCAGCTGCCCTGTGTGAGGTTTCCCACCGTCCACCTCCAGGTGAGTGCCCAGTCCAGTGCCAGAAGAGGGGGCAACCCTCATGCCACTATTCTGAGGGCTCAGTGCTGCCACTGGGAGAGATCAGCTGAGCAGGAGGAAGGAAAAGAAGGTTGGGGCACTTAGGAATCTTCCCCCACCTATGGCTGCTTTGAAATGATCGCTATCTTTTTTTTACAGTATGTGTTATTCTCGGTCAAGTGGTACATGACTAATTCTAGCTACTTAAGAGGCCGAGCCAGGAGGATTGTAAATTCGAGGCCAACCTAGGCAACTTGGCAAGACCCTGTCTCAAAAAGAGGGGGTGCTTGCCATACAGACAATTGTGAAGGCCCTGGATGTAGTCCCCAGAACCACCAGAAAAGAAAAAAGAAAGAAATGTTAGTGTTTTAGAACAGTTTTAGGTTACAGCAAAACTGTGCAGAAGACCCAGAGCTTTTCTGTGTGCTCTGTGCCCGGCCTCCTTGGCAACCTGCCACAGAGTGGGACACCTTACTATAGTCAGGGCACCTGCACAGCCTGTCATTACTTTATGTTAAGGTTAAAAACAGTCACTTAAAAAATATGCACCTCAGTGGATATTTATTTATTTTGTGGTACTGGGGATCAAACCCAGGTTACTTTACCACTGAGCTACGTCCCCAGCCCTTTTTATTTTAAGGTAGGGTCCCATTAAACTGCCCAGGTATGACTTGAATTTTTGATCCTCCTGCCTTAGGCTCCCTCACTGCTTGGATTACAAGTGTGCAAGGCTGCATCCAGCTATTCAGTGGGTTATATACTTGCAGAGTTGTTCAGCAATTATTTTTGTCTAGCTTGAATATTTTTATCATTCTGAAAGGAGCTCCTGTCCTTCAGCTCCTGGTACCTCTGCTCAATTTTCTATCTCTGGGTTTCTCTGTTCTGCTTATCCATATGCATGGAGTCACATGTGTCCCCTGATATGAGTGGCCTCTTCCACTGCATGTTGGTGTCCTTGGGATTCATCCACATGGTAGCAGGTGTCACTCCCAACCCATGGCTGCGTAATGTGTTATCCTGTGGATGGACCATTTTGGTTTACATATTCATCTGTAGGTTAACAAGCAGGCTTTTGACCCCTGGCTGTTGTGCCATTGTCTGTGAACTTGTTTTTTCAGACACTAACTTTGTGCTGGGCAGCTACAAGACAGAACCTTGCCCAAAACCTCCACGTCTGTGCCGCCAGGGGTATGCATGCCCACACTACCACAATGGCAGGGACCGCCGGCGGGACCCCAGGAGGTTCTCATACAGGTGAGCTGGGACCTGGGCTGAGAGACAGTTCTTGATTTGTGTGCACTGAGTCTGTATTGTAGTCTTTGGCCTTGCTGCTTTCAGGCATGTAGACCTGCCTTCTCTTTGGTCAGATATGGGGTGTATGGCTCCTGCCTCTAAGTCCCTCCTGTGACCTGTGCACATGTGTTCAAGGGTAGGGTGCCTTTCCAAGCCTGTTGTCCCTGCGCTACCCACTCCTGGGTTTCTCATAGTGAGGGCTCCCTGGCCACACAGTCATGTTTGTTCTAAAGGACAGAGCTTGTTGGAGGCAAGATGAAGACCCAGACATCTGTCCCAGGGACAAGAGGGGATCAGAGGTGGGGCCAAGGCCCCCCCTGCACAGTGCTCTTATATGTCCTCCAATTGGGAACCCCCTGTCAAGAAGTGGGGATCATGGTAGGGGGCACCCAAAACTGCTGTGGTCCCGTGTGTGCTTCTACTGGTATCCCTGGTCTTGATGATAATGATCCCCAGCTGTGAAGCTGTTTTGCCATCTCTCTTGCCCCCACAATTGGGGTACCTCTGATTTTCCTGGGATGGTTGGTGGCCAGGATGGTGGGTTCTTGAGGCGAGGGCTGGTTTGGGTTTGGACCCCACTGGGACTTGTGCACCATGTGGTCCTGTTCTTTTCCAAAGCCAGTTTTTCCTCCTTTATCTGCTGCTCTTTTCTTTTTGCTTGGCTGGCTCCCTTTTGGTTTGAAGTCTGTACTTGGGGATACAGGTAAAGAGAATTGGCTCTAGCTACCACCAGTCCCCCTGAGAACCCCACTTGGAGTGGAAAATTGTGTTTTTTTGTTTTTTGTTTTTTGTTTTTTTCGTTTTTAATTTTAAAGAGAATAATAATAAAAAAAAAATAGTAGCAAAATACCAACATCACAGACAAAAACGAAACAAAGCAAAAACAGTAAAAGTGATACAGGGTTTCAAAACAGAATGATAGGAATTAACAGTGGTTGTTGTATTACATGTTGTTATCTTCAACGAAGTTGCTCAGATTACCAGATGTTAGAATGGAAGATTGATCAAACCATTTTTTTTTTTTTTTGGACCAATTTTGTATACTTATATCTGGTAACCTGAGTAACTGATTTGAAGACAATATGCAATATAACAACCATGGGTGAATTCCTACCATCTTGTCTAGTGAAACTCTGTATCATCTCTAAATTTTTTTGTGTGTGGGGGGCGTGAGGAATGGATCAGGAATTGAACTCAGGACCTTGCACTTGCCAGGCAGGCGCTTATGCCACTGAGCTATATCCCTGGCCCCTCTAATTTTTTTTAATTATTATTTTTTATTCTCTTTAATGGAAAATTGTGTGTTTTGTTTTGTTTTGTTTTGTTTTGTTTTTTGAGACAAGGTCTTTCTATGCAGTTCCCCTAGATTCTGCAGGCTGGACTTGATTTTTGGTTTTTCTCCGGTACCGGGAACTGAACTCACGACCTTGCACTTGCCAGGCAGGTGCTTTTGCTGCTGAGCTAAATCCCCAGCCCAGGAAAATTGTGTTTTTAAAAAAGGTCTCAGAGGTGAGAATTTTTCCTATAAATTTAAATAAGTAACAGTGAAGCTGCCAGTAAATATATGAAAAGGGAAGATTCTGATAATTCAAGATTTGGTTAAGATTTTTGAATTGTGAGATTAAGTCACAGATTCTGCACTTTGCAACAGCAGCCAGGACAGAACCCTTGTGCTTTCTGTGTCACTTTGGGTAGCTCTGACTCAAGCCTATGAATGAAACTCTGTGAAGCAGAGGTATTCCCTCTGCTCTCCTTTGTCTGCCTCAGGAGGGAAATGGTCTTGTCAGGGGTGCTTTGCCTTCAGCACAGTGGCTACGTTTAGAAAGCCCAGGGTGCACAGAGGGATGTGTCCTTGAGCATTCCCTAGTGACTCTCCTTGTCCCCAGATCCACCCCCTGCCCTAGCGTGAAGCATGGTGACGAGTGGGGTGAACCTTCTCGGTGTGACAGTGGGGACAGCTGCCAGTATTGCCATTCCCGCACGGAGCAGCAGTTCCATCCTGAGGTAGGCACTGGGAAAACTGGCGAGCTGGTGGGGGAGGGGTGTGGCCAGGTGACAACTCTTTGCAGTGTCTGAGGTTCCCAAAGCTGCCCTCAGCTCACTAACTCCCTGGAGGAATCCCAGGACTCAGTGAGGCCCTTAGTTCACACTGAGAGCAGGTCAGAGTCAGCCAGGAGGGAGGTGTGGGCAGCCCTCCCACTGGAGTGGAGGAAAGTACCTGCTTGTCCCCAAGTGATATACCAGAGTACAGGGCATGTTGCCAGCAGGAATGTTGTCCCATCCTTGATGTTTAGGGCTTTTATTGGGTGTGGTCATGGCTATCTCCAGTATCTACAGAGGTCCAGTGACATCTTGTGGCCCACAGACTTAACCCAGTTGCTGTGGCAAGATGAGCTGTCTGGCCACATCCTAGCTCCTATCCCAGAAATCATTTCTGGACAGAATGTTCTGGGCTTGGAAGCTCCCTAGAAGGTGGGCAGGGACTGTTAGTCCTTGGGAAAGTGTATCTGGCCGGCCTGCCGAGTTCTTTGCTGTTGAAATATGGAAGTGTGGGGCTCCCTGCCGGGCTCCAAGGCTGTGGGAGGAGTTGGGGTGGGGAGGGGGGAACTGGGGGATGAATAGCTGTCTCCCTAAGTGACATAGCAGTACAACTGGTCATGGAATGGATGCATGTGTACATTTAACAGACATTTCTTGAACACCTCCTGTATTCCCAGCACTGAGTGTGTTGCTCCTTTTTAGAAAAGTTTAAAGTGGGGGAATGACTTTGCCTGCAGTTTGACAAACAGTGACATGGGAACAGCATCATCACCCCTGCCTGCTCCCTGTCTGGCCAACACATTCTACAGAGAGGGATTTCAGGCTAGCAGCATACAGTAGAGGAGCAGTGTGTTGGTTAACATTCCTTCACTAAGAAGAAAAGGTTTATTAAGCCCGTAGTTTTGGAGGTTCCAGTCCAGTCAGTTTGACCCTATTTCTTTCAGGCAGTGATAGGGGAGTACATTGTGACAGGAGCTACAGCAGGGCAGCACTTCTTACTTCTTACAGCAGGAAGGAAAGGGAGGAAGAGGAGAGGACCAGAATCCCACAGTTCCTTCTAAGCGGGTGCCCTCAGTGACCTAAGGACCTCCTACTGGCCCAACCCCTGAAAGGCTCCACCACCTCCCTGTCACACCTTGCTGTGTACCAGAGCCCTACCCTGTGGGCCTTTGGGGACACCACAGATCCTAAAAGTTGCATACAGTGTCCACACTTTTCAGGAGGCTTACTGTTTGCCTGTTTGGAGACAGAATCTCCCTTATGTAGTCAGGCTGGCCTTGACCTCATGCCAATCCTCAGCCTCTCAAATGCTGGGATGATGGGCATGTGACACCACGTCCAGTTGAGACTCATGATTTGAAACTTTCTTCTCTGTAATATGATAAAGCCAGCTCTGATCTTCTTGTAGAAACCCAGTCTTGATATTTTACTTTTACTTCCTAGATCTACAAATCTACAAAATGCAATGATATGCGTCAAACTGGCTATTGCCCTCGGGGTCCTTTCTGCGCCTTTGCACATGTTGAAAGTGAGTAGACCCTGTATGGTTGCTCTCTGCTGCTATTTGTGGTTTGTTGCCTTTAGTGACTACAGATTCTGGCTAAGTTTTGGGTTATCTGGAGTAGGATGGAGAAAGTGAATCAGAGCTCACATGTCCCCAGGGATGGGAGACCTGAAGTGCCCATTTAGGCTTCCAGGGTGAGAGGGGTCAGTGCCGTACTAGGCTGGGCCCTAAGCCTGGGCACAAAGAGCTCAGAGACTGCTGCCTCCAGGCCTTCTTGGGATCTGTATCTTTCTGCCATGCACCTGCTTACTCAAACCTGACAGGCCCACCATCCCACTGGCGGCTAAATGGCACTGTCCATGTGGAGACAAGGGACACCAGAGACTAGAATAGGTGCAGCTGCTGGCCTCAGAACCTGTGTTCATCTTGGGCCTATGGTCCCAACAGGTGCTTGAGGAGGCAGACCCACAGGACCCTGCACAGGGATCCCACACCCTGAGGGCTCCTCCCAAGCTTACAAGTTTGCCATCTAAGTTTTATGAATGTAATTGGAAACTCAAAGTTTACTTTCTATTTGGGTGGGGATGGCTGGTATTCTCATTCATAGTGTAGACATCAAGACTTGAGTCTAAAGACTGTGAAGGGACCCTGACTGAATCTAAAGACTGTGATGGTTCCCTGACCTGTCCTAGCTGTCCTCTGCTAGGCCTGGAGAAGGGTTGTTGTTTGTTAGGAGACTGTGCATGCTCTCAGTTCTTAGCTCCAGAGGTTTCAAAGCCCCTAGGCATATGTTATTTCATCAGTGGCCCCTCAGTGCCTGCTGCCCGCCTTTCTTGGCAGAGACTCTTGGGACAGCGAGTGACTGGGGCTGCCGAGATCTCAGCTCTACCAGCAGCACCTCAGCCCATAGTGGTCAGCCTGGAAATGTAAGTGGACAGCATGGGGAGGAGGGTGGATGTCACTGTTGGGGACAGAGATGGATGTGATGTCTGGATGATCTAGTTGAAGGCAGTTTGCAGCTGGAGGTGGCAGTTCCTTCTAGAAGGAGCTAGAAAAATCCTGGCCATAGTCTTGCCTAGGATGGAGCAGGGCAAGCCACTAGTGTACTGGCTTCTCCCTGCTCATCTTTACAGAGCCTCCTATGAGTGCTTTCAAGACCCTGGATTGGTGGAGGTCATTAGCAAACAGTATGATGTGGCATGGGTTCCAGCCCTTGTCATCCCAACGTGTCAAATTTTGTCCAGTAGGCATGACAAGGGATGACAGACAAAGCTGCTTCTTCTGTGCTACTTATAAGGACATCACATGCTGCGCCAGAGTGGGCCCTGCAGTGGTGACTAGCCATAATATAGGACTTTAGCCAGTTTGCAAAAACTATTATTTGCTTTCTTTTGTACTTGGAATAGAACCTAAGGTCCTGCACTGAGCTACATCTCCCCTCATCCCTTTGAGACAAGGTCTTGCTAAGTTGTCCAGGCTGGGTTTGAACTCATGCTGGTCCTTGCTCAGCCTTGCAGAGTGCTGGGGTTGTAGATATACATCCCTATCACACTTGGCGTGTGTGCGTTTGTGTGTGTGTGTGTTTGGTACGGGGGTTGAACCCAGTGCCTTCAATGACCATATTCCCCAGCCCTGATACCTGCTTTAAGATCTGTGGTAGTGATGTCCAAATGCCCCTGAACTCTTGGCCTATGCACTTGTAGATGTGCTGCCCTCAGCTGAGGATAGTTTGGTCCAGTTGGAACACAGATCACTGAGTTTCTGGAAGCCTCCACCCACTCCTGGAGTGCTGGTCCCTTGTTTGTGTTGCATAGATGGGGCTTCTGGTATACTGCTGCTTTCTCCTCTGATACCTGAGAGTCACCTCTGTGACACTGCCCTCAGTTTTGGTTTTTTTTTTTTGGTCTTTTTGAGACAGGGTCTTGCTCTGCAGCTTAGGCTGACCTTGAGCTCACTTTGTAGCCCAGGCTGGCCTCCAACTCGCAAGGATCCTCCTGCCTCAACCTCCCAAGTGCCAGGATTACAGGCATGCGCCACCATGCCTGGCGACATCGCCCTCAGTGACAAGTTGGGTACAGAGTCTGTGTCCATGTGCCATTTGGGCCAGTGACATAGGCCAGGCTGTCCCTGAGTTTGGCCACCTCAAGGGTCTTTAGTTTACAACCCAGAATTTTCCCTTTTAAAATGAGCAGGGCAGCCAGACATGGTAACACACACCTGTAATCCCAGAACTTGGGAAGTTGAGGCAGGAAGGTCACTGAGTTCAAGGCCAGCCTAAAC